GCTGGAGCCTGTGCTGATGCCGCTGCTGGGGCTCCGGCCCAAAACCCCCTCCTGCCCAGCACCCCCTCCTGCCCAGCACCCCCTCCTGCCCGCCCCCCACCCCCGCAGGCGCTGCTGGGGGGACTGGCCTCGCCCTCTTCTGTGGGGTCCCTCAACGCCAAGGTGACCAGACGTCCCGCTTTTGGTGGGACAGGCCCAATTTTTAACCATTTGTCCCACATCCCTCGGCGTTTAAAAAAAACAAAAAAACGCTGTGGGACAAATGGTTAAAAATCAGGACTGTGCCGAAACCGGTTTGGCTCCATGGATAGAGCATCCGCCTGCGGACTGAAAGGTCCCAGGTTCGATTCCGGGCAAGGGCATGTACCTTGGTTGCAGGCACATCCCCAGTAGGGGGTTTGCAGGAGGCAGCTGATCGATGTTTCTCTCTTATCAATGTTTCTAACTCTCTATCCCTCTCTCTTCCTCTCTGTAAAAAATCAATAAAAAAATGTTTTTTTAAATTTAAAAAATAATAATAATAAAATTAAAATAAAAACAACAAAAATCGGGACCGTCCCATCAAAAGCGGGACGCCTGGTCACCTTACTCAAAGCCAAGGCAGCTTCTCTGTGCATGTGACGGGGGCCGAGTGCCCCAGGGCGGGGGGTCGGAGCCCGGGGCAGCTGGTGAGTTCACCGGTGCCGGTTCCCTCCGGGAGAAAGCCTCTCTGTTTCCTTCTCATTGGTTCTTTGTCGAGGAGGCAAGCCAGATGCACCTGCTCAGCGTCCCAGCTGCAGAGAAGCGAGGTGGGTGTGGACTCGGTATTTAAACAGCCGCCCTGGGCCCATTTCCGGCCCAGCTCACGCAAGAGAAAGGGCACAGATCCTGGAGCTGCGGGCGGGCCTCAGTTTTCCTGTCTGCAAAATGGGACGATGGCAACCGCCACTCCCCGGGGTCCCGGGACCCAGAAAAATCATTCCGCCGCGTGCCCTCCGCACGCCGTCACTCCCCACCCTGAAAGGAAGAAAACAGGGCCCTTCCCCACCACGTCTCCCTCTGCTGGTTCTCCCCTAAAGCGAGGAGCGTGGACGTTTGTTCTTCAAACGTTTATTTTACTTTTTAGGGTGTTTTTTTTTTTGTGGGGGGGAGGGGGGAGGAAAGGAGGTTTTTGGAAGGGGGTGGACGGGTGAAGGCAATCCCTTTTCAGACCTGAGATAAAAAATGGCAGCACGGGCTTGGCCTGATGCGGTAATGAATGGGGCGGTTGTGAGAGGGTCCCTCTGCCGGGGGCGCTCCCGGGGCACACCTTTTTACATGAGATAGGGCCGGCGCGGTGATTTATGGGGTGCCTGGCTCCAGAAGCCTCTCCCGGGGCTGCCCGGCCGCTGGCATCCATCAGGGTGAGGGGAGGCGAGGCGGGAAGCCGGCCCTGACCTGTGTGGTGGGATTTAACAGCACAAACAGCGGGGCAGGGGGCGGCCGGTGGGACTGGGGAGGGGAAGGGGGGTGGGTTGGGTTGGGTTTCCCACCAGCGGAGCCTGGCACGGGGCTGGTGGTCTCTTCAGGGAGGGCATGGGGGGTGGGGGGACACAGGAGCGGGGAGGGTGGGACTGGGGTGATTCCCTGGCATCTCGGGGACTCCTCGGCTTCCATTGGGGACCCCATCTAGGGAGGGGACTGCAGGGCAAAGGTTTCTGGGCACAGGCTGGTGTCAGGGCAGAGGGAGGGGTGGTGCCTGATGCCCCACTGCCCCAGGGCTCCCACTCCTGCTCAGAATAAACACCCGGCCCTGGCCACACCTGGCCCGGCCCCTCCCCCTTCGCACGTGCGGTTCCCACCAGCCTGCGTGGCGGCTCCTCACTCCCTCGGACCCGGGCTCCTCGGACCTGCCTCTCCCGAGGACCCGTCCACCAGGGCCTCAGAAGCAGCCAATCAGAAGCACGTGAGCCCGTGGGCCCTGAGGCCGGGAGCCCGGCTCTAAGGAGACACAGCGCCTGGAGAGGCCCACGGAGGAGCCTTGGGTCACCCTGACGACGTGGGGATGGCGCTGGGCGCCGGTTAAACACATTCTCCTCGCCGGTCAGGAGCCCACGCTGACGTACTGACGGCAATACAACACGGCGCCTGACGGCTCTAACGGACCCCAAAGTGCACAGGAGCGCACCCGCCTTGCACGCCCAGATGGGACGTGACTCCGGCCGGAGCGGGCCGTCCTGTCCCCACCCGGAGGGGCAGGTACCGGGCACGTGCCCTGCCCTGTGCCCTGCCCCGGGGGCTCCTGCCCGGGCTGGGAGGCGGGAGCTGCAGAGGCGGGACCCTGCCCTCCTCACCCCCCCTCGCCTGGGGCAGCTCTGGGCAAGAACCCCTCCTTTGCCAGCAAGGGCCGCCTCCAAGCCTCTGAGTCCCCCTGGCTTCGGCTGGAGTGGGGGAGCAGGTGGAGGTGCGGCAGGAACAACCCCCTTTCCCACTCCTTCTCTCTCTGCTGGGTCTCCCCTAACCGAGGAACGTGGGCCCTTAGGACGCACAGGAAACCAAAGGAGGTCTGGGCCCGGGGCTGGGCCTGCTGGGGAGGAGAAGGGGGCGACCTCAGGCCGGTACACACCCCCACGGCCAGTGTCCTGCCCCCCCCCCTCACAGCCCTGCACCCACACCTACACGTCCTGCTCCCGGCCCCGCTGGCAGGCTCCTGTCTTCCCACCGTGGGCTGAGGGGGCAGAGACGGGAGGGCAGTCTCTGCGGCTGGTATCTCGCCCATCACAGCACCGAGGCCCCCTCTCTCCCTGTGCCCCCGCCCCTGGCATTCCTTGGGTGTCAACCAGGACGGGCCACCCCGAGGGGACCGGCGAGTGTTATCTGGGCAGAGTCAACAGGCCCCTCTGCTTCTTATCTCGGGCATGCTGCGCCCAGGAGAGGGGCACACAGCAGCTGCCGGGCCTCCCAGGAGGGCAGCCCGAGCGGAGGCGGCCTGGGAGACGGAGCACCTGGTGGAGACGAGCTCTGCCCCCACCTGGCGGAGCAAGGGGGTGGGGGGAAGGGAGAGAGCATCGCTGGCTGAGGCAACCCAGGAAGGCTTCAGGGAGGAGGCGGCCCTGCCCTGGGCTTTGGCACAGGCGTAGGACTTAGACGCGGACGGTGCGTGTCTGGCAGGGGGCAGAGCTTAAGCGAAGGCAAGGAGGGGTGAGGGCAGGAAGGGTCAGAGGTCGGAGGCTCAGGTGCATATGTATCCGGGTTCCAGTCCAGCTGTGTGGCTTGGAGTAATGGCTCTGTGCCTCCTGTTTCCTCGTTTGCAAAAATGAAGAGAATAGTTATCTACCATTCGGGTGACTATGAGGTTCAATACAATGGCTGCTAAGGCCCAGAGCACACAGTAGGTTCTCACTATGTAAAGAAGCCAGAACCGGTGCGGCTCAGTGGACAGAGCATCGGCCTGTGGACTGAAAGGTCCCAGGTTCGATTCTGGGCAAGGGCATGTACCTTGGTGGGGGATGTGCAGGAGGCAGCTGATCGATGTTTCTCTCTCATCAATGTTTCTATCCCTCTCTCTTCCTCTCTGTAAAATATCAATTATATATCCAATATATACATTTTTTTTAACCACCTTTAAAAAATATATATGCAAAGAAATGTTTGTTCCTCTGCACCCTTCCTTGTTGGGGAAAAGGCTCAGGGGACAGTAGGAACTAACACTGATTGAAAGCCTCCTGGTACCTACGCCGGGTCCACAGTAATAATCCACCGGCCGCCCGTTTTACAGGTGAGAACACTGAGGCCCTGCAAGGAGCTTCGTTTGCTCAAGGTCGCCGGGCTGGCTAGGAGGAACGGAGTCCCGCTCCGGGCTGGCTGAGTCCGCTCTGGGGCTCCGGGGCCCCTCCTGCCGTGCGGAACGCACCCAGTGTGACTCCGGGATCAGGGCTGGGGCCTGTGGCTTCTGAGGGGCAAGTCGGGCCCACGGTCTGGGGTCCGAGAGAGAGAAAAGACCAAGGCAGCAGCAGCAGGAGGCGGGGAGGCCACTGCCACCCTCCAATCCTCCACCGGAGGAGAGGGTGAGGTGCCTGGGGAGGGCACGGCGTAGGCGAAGGAAAGGAGGCGGGACCTGGCACTGGGCTTCTCCGGCCCAGGGTGCAGCCTGAGGCCCAGAGAGGGGAGAGCGTTTGCTCGAGGCCACACAGCAGCCATGAAGCCAGGGTGCCTCCGGGTGACCGGGAGGTGGGTGCTGGGGGGGAGGGGGGTTTGGGGCACCCGCTGGCCCCGCACGCTCTGAGCCTGGTTTCCTGGGGGGCTGGGAAAGGTTGGGGAGACCTCCCCATGCCAGACCTTGGGCCCCAGCCTTTGCTGGGACTCAGCGCCTCCAGGGGCAGGATTCCCATCGGAGGCGCGTTGCTGCCCCCTGGTGGCGCCAAGAGACGAAGTTCCCCTCCCGTTTCCTAGGCGATCCCCGGGCCAGCCGGTACCCACCCGCCTTGGGACCCGGACCCACCTGGCAGTCCCACCTCCTTCCCCAGAGCCCACCCCCACCAGCCCCCACACGACGAAGACCGAGGTCTGAGACGCACAGAGTCCTGTTGGGGATCACGGGTTTGAACCCGACCGGACCACGTCCCCGCTGGGCGGCCTGGGGTGGGTCAGGGCACCGTCCCGTGCCTCGGTTTCCCCATCTGTAGAACAGGGGCGGTGAGGGTGGGTTTTTTCAGGAGCCATTCAGTGTCAGAGAAGGTGAGGATGAGTAGGACGTTCGTAGAGGAGTTTCTGGCCCGCAGCCGGCACCGGGGCAAAGCTGGAGATGGTGCCCTCACCTGCCAGGCCCGAGAAGGCTCAGGGCGTCCCCGCCTCGTCCCGCCCCTCAGCCGAGGCAAGCCCTGCCAGTAGCCCCTGCGCAGCTGGCTGCCCGGGAGGCCTGAGCTCGGGACGCCTGGCTTTGCTTCTCAGGCTGTGGCGTGGAGGGCGCTAGCTACCTCATCAGCCGGGCTTGAGGGATGAGCTCACAGAGGCAGAGAGACCGGCCGGACAGGGTTACAGACTCAACTCTGAAAGAGTTTATTGGTCGGGGCTGCGGGGGAGCCGGAGGGAGCAGTCCTGGAGGGCTTCCTGGAGGCGGCGGCCAGCACAGACGCACAGGGTAGCTTCCACGGCCGTCTGAGAGCCCAGAGGCCCCTTGGCAGCTCCAGGGGCCTCAGCGCCAGCCCAGCTGGGCCTTCAGCGCCTGCAGCTCCCGGCTGTCGATGTTGTTGCCTCCGCAGACGATGACCACCACGGAGGCCAGCGTGGGGCTCAGGCGGCCCTCGGCCTGCAGCCGCCCCAGGAGGCCCGAGTAGACGGCAGCTAAGGCTGCGCCGCAGGCTGGCTCCACCAGCATGCGCTCATCATCTGCCCGGAGCGGGAAGGGGTGGAGGGGAGAGGGGGAAGCCAGTCAGAGCTCGCAGGCCAGGGTGTTGCAAACCCCATGGAGCCAGCCTATCCGCCTGACTCCCTCTCCATCCACCCGTCTCTCCGCCTTCCGTGTATCTACCCATCCATCTCTTCCTCCATCCATCACAAAACTGTCTGTCTGTCCATCTATTAGCGTGGCCATCCATCAGCATATCCATCGATCCATCCATCCATCCATCCATCCACTATCTATCCTTTGACTGTCTGTCTGTTCATCCATCAACGTGCCCATTCATCAGTGTCCATCCGTCGATGCGTTTCTGTGTCATTCATCAGTGCGTTGCCCCATCAATCCCTCTGCCCGTCTGTCTGCCCACGGCCCAGCTCGTCACTCACACATCCCTCCACCCATTCCACACATCCCTATGGTGCGCCCCCTCTCTGCCCGACCCTGTCCTCAGAAGACTCTGGGGACACGACCTAATGATGTCGACGGGCTGGGAGCGGGCAGATAGGAGATGAGTGGGATTGGTGCATCAGAGTCTCCTCCCTGGGCAGGATGGGGGTGAGAGACCCAGGGAGGCTTCCCAGAGGTGGTGTCATGATGACGGGGCCCTTCGTCACAGGGAAATGACGGGGAGCAGGCGAGGGATGGGCAGCTCCAGAGAAGAGCATGTACAGAAGTCTGGAGGCGCCAAAACCGGTGTGGCTCAGCGGATAGAGCGTCGGCCTTCGGACTGAAAGGTCCCAGGTTCGATTCCGGTCAAGGGCATGTACCTTGGTTGCAGGCACATCCCCAGTAGGGGGTGTGCAAGAGGCAGCTGATCCATGATTCTCTCTCATCGATGTTTCTAACTCTCTATCCCTCTCTCTTCCTCTCTGTGAAAAATCAATAACATATATTTTTGAAAATAAAATAAAATAAATAGAAACTGACTTCCATCAAAAAAACGAAGCCGAGACTGGTTTGGCTCAGTGGTGGAGCGCTGGTCTGCGGACTAAAAGGTCCCAGGTTCGATTCCGGTCAGGGGCATGTACGTTGGTTGCGGGCACATCCCAGGGGGGGGAGGAGGGGGAGGTGTGTGTGTGTGCAAGAGGCAGCTGGTCGATGTTTCTCTCTCATCGATGTTTCTAGCTCTCTATCTCTCTCCCTTCCTCTTTGTAAAAAAATCAATAAAATATGTTTTAAAAATAAATGAGCATTCCCTGTTTAAAAAAAGAAGGAGGAGGAGGAGGAGGAGGAGGAAAAGAAGAAGAAGAAGAAGAAGAAGAAGAAGAAGAAGAAGAAGAAGTAGTAGTAGTAGTAGTAGTAGTAGTAGTAGTAGCCTGGAGGCTAGTGACAGCCGGCACCCCCTCCCTCCATCTCCCCATGGCACAGTCGCCGCCTGCCAGCCTGGGGAACAGGGGGGGATCTGGACCGCGCAGGTTTCACCGGGTCTGGCGCCCACTCACCGAGGAACCTCTGCACAGCGTCCACGGCCTCCCGGTCCTCCACCACCTCCGAGAGGACCCGGAGCTCCCGCGCGCAGGCCAGCGCGCCCGCAGCCGCCGTCTTGGCGCCCAGGCACTTGGCCACGCTGCGGAGAGGCGGGCGGGGCCGGGGTGCGGGAAGGGGCCGGTGAGTCACACACAGACCCAGCTGCCCTCCGCCCCCGGCCCCCGCGCGGCCCTGCCCACACCCTGACTTTGGGCTCCTAGCGTCCAGGGTGTGGAAGGACACATTTCTCCTGTCCTCAGCCCCTGCCTGCGGGGACGGCTGGGCGGTCCTGGGGGACACATCACCATCCATGATGCTGGGTGAGGAGCATGAGGCAGGGGCTGGCGGCTGGACCCACTCTCTGCTCGTGAGTGAGTTTATAGTATAAACTTTATAAGAAGCTTGCCTCAGCTCCTGGCCGGTGTGTCTCAGGGGCTAGAGCGTCAGCCCACGGTCTGACTGAAGGGTCCCGGGTTCCAGTCAAGGGCAAACACCTGGGTTGCAGAGTCAATCCCCTGCCCTGGCCAGGGCACATGCAGGAGGCAACCAATCGCTGTGTTTCTCACATCAATGTTTCTCTCTCTCTCTCTCTCTCTCTCTCTCTCTCTCTCTCTCTCTCTCCCCACCACCCCTTCCACTCTCTCTCAAAATCAATGGAAAAATATTCTCAGGTGAGGATTAACCAACAACAACAACAAATGCAATGGGAGAAAAATTCTCTGGCGATGGTGCCCAAAACCCACACCAAACTATGTTCGTGTTACAGACTGTGAATAGAAAAACGGAGGTTACAAAACTGTCTGAAGACTATAATCTCAGCTTCTAAAAATACATCATTGATTCCTTTTACAGACGTTTGTGGACCACCTACTATGTTCCCAGCACCTGCCACTTGTGTGCAATGATGCGTGGGCGGGGGGGGGGGGCAGGGCGGGAGGGAGGCAGGCAAAGACTGGGGAGCGTGCACCCCACTGTGAGCAGCGTCCGCCTTCGGGTGAGGATGGGGTGACGATTGGGTTTCTGTGGTCAGTGCTCGCCTCCCTTTCCAGCGGCCGCCCCCTCCACTGCTCTGGGATGGTGGACCCTGGACGCTGGTTCCCCTCGCTGCTGAGACCGACAGGGCGCAGGTCCTCCTCTTTCAGCACCGCCCCTGCCTCAGACCCACACCGTGGGGCTGGAGCCCCGGGCGAGGGGACCCTCCTGAGGTGCCCCCCCTCTGCATCCTCCCCCGCCAGCCCCCCCAGCGCCAGCCCGTGCCCACCTGGTGATGTCCGGCAGCGTGACCGGCCTGCCCGCCTGCAGAGCCGCGTGGAAGCAGTGGGCCCCTCGCGTCTCCATGGCGACCACGGGCACGTGCTGCCAGCCCACCTCCGCCAGGCCGGCCGCCACCCCAGCCAGAAGCCCCCCGCCCCCCACCGCCAGCACCAGGGCCCCCGGCGGGGTCCCCAGGGCTGCCTTCAGCTCCCGCACCAGGCTGGCGTGGCCCTCCCTGGAGGAGAGGGGGAGAGGGGGCGGGAGGAGCTGGGCCAGGGACACCCCCAGCCCCCGCCTCCCGCCCAGGCCAGGGAGAGGGGACCCCGAATGCCTAGCTCCCTCAGCTTCATCCGTGTCCGCCGCCCACCCCCAGGGCCCAGGGCCTCTGACGCCCCGCTCGCTGTGTGATCTCGGGCAAGCCGCTTGAGCCCTTGGTGCCTCGGTTTCCCCAACTGTAAAACAGGCACACAGCACCTCCCTCTAGGGGTCTAAACGTTCCCCCAAAGTACACGCTCCACGCAGAGGACTCGTTATTAGTATTTCCATGTTACACGTGGGGAAACCGAGGCACGAGGGGTGCGATGCTCACAGATTCACACAACTCAATACGGGGCAGAAATAGGGCCTGGACTCCATGCCTCTTCTACTCTGGGCCTCGGTTTCCCCTTTTGCCCCATGGGAGGACCCGGATTCAATGAGGGTTTCTAAGCTCTGAGCTCCTGGGGTGTTGGGGGGGGGCACCAGCCTTACCATATCAGGGGGTGGTCGAACGGGGGCACGTTCACCCAGCCGTCCCTCTTGGCCAGCTCCTGGGCCCTCAGATTGGCCTCATCCCAGACCTAAGGAGCAATCGAGGCCAGAGGACCGGCGGGCAGGCAGCCCCTGGGGACCCAAACTAGCACAGCATTTCGGAGGGAGCCCCCAGATCTCCTCTCCTAAGGGGTGGAGGGGGACAAGGGGGCAGAAACAGCACTGCCCTCCTCTGGCACCCGCCGTGCCCCCTGGGCCTGAGCCCCGGCTGGGGCAGGCGGAGAGGACACATGGTCCCGCCCCCCGTGGAGCCTCGTCCAACGGGAGAGATGGGCTTCCTCCTCTCGAAACATTGAAGCAAGCCCTGGACGGTGTGGCTCAGTGGATAGAGCGCCGGCCTGGGGACCGAAAGATCCCGGGTTCGATTCCGGTCAAGGGCATGTGCCTTGGTTGCGGGCACGTCCCCAGTGGGGGGTGTGCAGGAAGCAGCTGACCGATGTTTCTGTCTCATCGATGTTTCTAGCTCTCTATCCCTCTCCCTTCCTCTCTGTAAAAAATCAATAAAATATATTTTAAAAAAAGAAAAGAAATATTGAAGCCAAATGAGCTTTGAAGCTGTGCAGCCCTTGCAGGCCTCTCCCTGGGCACCCACTGAGCCTCTGCCCCCGAGCAGCCGGGTGCCCGTCCAACCATGACCCTCCTCCTCCTGTCAGCCCTCCACGCTGCCCAGGGCCCGGAGCTGAAACCCTGTCAGCCGTGCTGTGTTTGGGCGGCCAGGTGACCCGGGGGCCTCAGCCTCGGCCTCTCACACTGGATGGTCTCAGCATGCACCGTGCTGCCATCCTCTCCCTTATACTTCGTGTCTCATCAAGTGGCAAACAACCCTAAAGTGGCCAACACCAGGCCCAGCTGGTGTGGAGCGCTGACCTATGACCGGAGGTCATGGTTCGATTCCCTGTCAGGGCCCAGGCCCCGGGTGCAGTCTCGATCCCCAGTGTGGGGCATGCAGGAGGCAGCCGGTCAATGGTTTTCTCTCATCAATGATGTTTCTATCTCTCCCTCCCCTCTCTTCCTCTTTGAAATCAATAACAAAATATATATAAGTTTTTAAAGGGATCAGACCAAAACCGGTTTGGCTCAGTGGATAGAGCGTCGGCCTTCGGACGGAGAGGTCCCAGGTTCGATGCCGGTCAAGGGCATGTACCTTGGTTGTGGGCACATCCTCAGTGGGGGGTGTGCAGGAGGCAGCTGATGGATGTTTCCCTCTCTCTCATGGATGTTTCTAACTCTCTATCCCTCTCCCTTCCTTTCTGTAAAAGGTCAATAAAAATATATTTTAAAAAAATAAAGGGGCCAATACCAAGTGGCAGCGAGGCTGGGGGGACAGGCGGGCTCCTGCAGGGGGTCTTCTCGGGGCGGGCACAGGCGAGGCCAGTGGTGCCAGCCCTTCTCACACACCACACGCACTCTCGCCCACCAGCTCGGCCAAGCCGAGGGCAGACCGGGCCGAGCTCGGTGAGAGGACAAGGGGGCGATCTCCGCCCACTCCCGCCGGCTCCCCCTTCCCGGGCTCCTTACCTTTCCAGCAAGCTGCACCTCGGCCCCCTCCCCCTGCAGCCTCCTCACCACGGGCTGGGAGGTGCCCTCGGGGAGCACGATGGTGGCGGGCAGGCCCAGCTTCCGGGCGCAGTAGGCAGCTGCGATGCCCGCGTTGCCCCCTGTGGAGGCAGCGGAAGGCGACACCGTTGACAGGCCTCTGCCCCTCCTCCTCCGTTTCCCTGTAGGAGCCCCCTCTCCCCCACACTACACACCCCCACGAGAGAGTCCTCTCCCTGGCCTCGAGATGGACACACGACCCAGACGGAACCCCTCAGAGAACCCAGCCTCCTGACCCATGACCCGTTCAGGGGTGAGCACGTGACCCGAGCCAGGCCCAGAAGACCAAGTCGCGGACTGAGGGGTTCCATGGGCAGGGTTGCTCCCCTTTTCATTGGGGTTGGTTAGGATGGCAAGAAGCAAGCCTGCCACCCAGGAGGCCCGGGCGAGAAGAAAGCTGGTGGAGAGGAAAGAAAGGCCAGGAGAAAGGAGGAGGTTGTGCGGGGGAGAGCGCCTGGATCCAGCCGTGCCTGAAAGCCGTGTCTCCTGAGAACGTTCAGTTCTCGGAGCCCCGTGGCTTAGTACGCCTGCGTGAGCTGGGTTCTGGTCACTTCTGCTGACGATGGGAACGCGGCTGGGAGAGGACAGACACACGGCCATCGGACCATGACAGTGATGAGGCCCGGCCCTTACGAGGAGGCCGAGCCCCCTGGACAGCTATCTCTGCTCCGGCCAGCCCCCCCTCCTCCTCCCCCACCCCCAGCCCGGAGGACCCTCGAGCGCAGAAAGGCGTGGGGTCACCTGAGGAGCACACCAGGTGGCTGCATCCCTTCTTGGCCGCCTGGGGAGAGAAGGAAGGGGGTTGAGGGCTCACCCAAGCAGGGATCACGGAGCTCCCCTCCCCCCCCCCCCCAATTCCAGCAGCCCCACTCTCCTCCCCCTCCCGCACAACCTCGCTTCTCTCCTTTTGCCCGCACCCCGTCACCTCCTGGCAGAAGTGCCCGATGCCCCGGATCTTGAAGGAGCCGGCGGGCTGCACATTCTCGCACTTGAGGAAGACGGTGGTGCCCGCCGCCTGGGACAGCGCCCAGCTCTCCAGCAGAGGCGTGACCACGTGGAAGGGCCGGGCCTCGGCACGCTCCGCCAGGGGGCGCTCCATCCCGGCGGCCGCCCGGCCTGCGGAGGACACGGGCCACTGCCCGGGCGGCTGCAGTCAGGGCTCCCCCTGACCAGGCCGGGAGGGGAGGGGAGATGGGGAGCGGAGACGCCCTCGGCGTGGTCCTCTTAGCCCCGTCTGGCTGCCAACCTGTGAGACTTCATGCAAAAATCTGCTCCTCCCTGGGCCTCGGTTTCCCCATCCGGGCAAACGCCTCTGGACGAGGGGCCTTTCGTTCTGTACCTGCGGCGGAGGCCCACGGTGCTGGGGGCGTAAAACCCAGCCCATGAGAAGTGATGGGCCGACACCGGTTTGGCTCCGTGGATAGAGCGTCGGCCTGCGGACTGAAAGGTCCCGGGTTCGATTGTGGTCGAGGGCATGTACCTTGGCTGCGGGCACATCCCCAGTGGGGGGTGTGCAAGAGGAAGCTGATCGATGATTCTCTCTCATCGATGTTTCTAACTATCCCTCTCTCTTCCTCTCTGTAAAAAAAATCAATAAAATATGTTTAAAAAAAAAAGAAGAAGTGATGGACTTCCCGCTCTCTTCCTCGGCGCTGCCTACGGAGGTGGCAGCCATCTCCTGCTCGGCACCATGCCTGCCCTCAGACCCCTCGTGAAACCCAAGATGGTCAAAAGGAGGACCAAGGAGTTCACCCATTACCGTCAGACCGATAGGTCAAAATGAAGCGGGACTAGCGGAAACCCAGAGGCACTGACAATAGGGTGCGGAGAAGCGTCGAGGGCCAGATCCTGAGGCCCAGCATTGGCTATGGGAGCAACAGGAACACAAAGCACATGCCGCCCAGTGGCTTTTGGAAGTTTCTGGTCCATCACGTCAAGAAGCGTGAGGTGCTGCTGATGGGCAGCAGGCCTCACTGTTTTGAGACTGCTCACAACGTCTCCTCAAAGAACCGCAAACCGGTTTGGCTCAGTGGATAGTTTCTAACTATCCCTCTCCCTTCCTCTCTGTAAAAAAAAAAAAAATCAATTGATTTTTTTTGCAGAGAGGAAGGGAGAGAGATAGAGAGTTAGAAACATCGATGAGAGAGAAACATCAATCAGCTGCCTCTTGCACCACCCCTACTGGGGATGTGCCCGCAACCAAGGTACATGCCCTTGACCGGAATCGAACCCGGGACCCTTCAGTCCGCAGGCCGACGCTCTGTCCAATGAGCCAAACCAGTTTCGGCTACTCTGGCAGGTTTACAGGCATCACAGGAGCATCTCAGAAACTGGAACCACGTGGGAAATGAGACAGATATCTACTCCTGCCACGGACGTATAGTCCGAGGGAGAGATCAGCATTCAACAGATAACTGTGTAGACAAACTAACTGATCAGAAACAGAGAAAACCGCTGAGAGAGAAACCTGCGTGTAGGGAGCCCCGAAGAGAAGAGCAAGGGGACCGACTTTGGGTCAGGAGGTCAGGAATGACCTCTTGGAGGAGGTGACCATTGCAACTGAGGCTGGCCCTAACCGGTTTGGCTCATGGATGGAGTGACGACCTGCGGACTGAAGGGACACAGGTTTGATTCCGGTCACGGGCATGTGCCTTGGTTGCAGGGACAACCTCAGTGGGGAGTGTGCAGGAGGCAGCTGATTGATGTTTCTCTCTCATTGATGTTTCTAACTCTCTATCTCTCTCCCTTCCTCTCTGCAAAAAAAATCAATAAATAAATAGCCCTCACTGGTTTCTCTCGCATCAATGTTTTTTTAATCTCTCTCCCATCCACGTTTTTCTCTCTCTCCCTCTCCTTTCCTCTCTCCCTAAAATTCAATGGAAAATCTTTTTTAAAAAAGAATCTGAGGCCCAGAGAGGTTGAGTCGTTTGCCTGAGGTCACACAGCTAGAAACGGCGCAGCCAGGATTCAAACTCGGGCAGTGTGCCTTGGCATCTGTGCTCGTCACCACAACGCAGCGTGAAGCCCAGGGCTGGGTGCAGGTCCCAGCAAGCACGACGTTGGCCAGCCCATTTTCCTTCCTGGGGCCCACCTGGTGCATCCAGGAGTTGGTGTTTACCCAGGTCTGTCCCTCAGGCTTTTCCCCAGACACCAAGTCCCTGGCACCAAGGCTGGGCAGCCCGGCCCGGCCCCTGGCGGGCAGCATGCCCCTCTGGCAGGCAAAGCCTGCTCTCCTTCTGCAAAGCAGCTGGGCCCGGGACACCGAGTTGAATCGATATTCCTGGGAGGGCTCAGGCCACTGTCCCGCTCCCTCCCTTCCCACCCGTTCGGCAGGGACTTTGCCCCAGGGCCTCTCAAACTCCCCCACATGCACCTCCACACGTGCATGCAAAGCCCCAGGGGCCCCCGTTTGGGCCCCAGGCCTCCTTACCTTTCTGCTCAAGAGTCCCCAGAACCAACTTGGCTACCAGCGGCTGCCCACAGGCCTGACTGGCACCGGCTCTGCCCGGTTTCTGCCAGCCTCCCGGGGCCTTGACCCCTCCTCCCGTGTTAAAGGGACAGCTCCTCGCTGGAAAGCAAGGAGGAGGAGATCAACCCTCGCTGCCTCCCCCTGTGCCATCCTCTGGCGCAGGCCTTTCCCTAGTCCCATGTGACAGATCAAGAAACCAAGGTCCCGAGAGGCAAATTCACTTGGCTGAGGCCACCCAGCCAGAGAGGAACACCCTTTGTCTCTCACCCCGGACCACCTGTTTCACCACACAGACACCTCTGAGGAAAGGCTGGTCCCGAGAGAACAGAGACGAGGAAACAGCTGTCACGAGAGAAACTTCACACCCCACACAGGAGCCGAGTGAGCATTCCTTTGTCAAACAAAGGACTCTGGCCATTGGCTCGTTTGTTAAAAAAATATATTTACTGGACACCTACCATGTGTCACACACATCCCAGGAGCTTTGGCCTCAAACAAAATAGCGTGTCCCCTGCCCTCCTGGGGCCTCCAGGGGTCACTGCAGAGTGGCTGCAATCAGTGCCATCCGGCACAGGTGGGGCTGCCGGCGCCCGGAGCAAGGACCTCACTTGTCCCGGAGGACTGGAAGCCTTCCCAGAGGAGGAGGAGGAGGAGAGGAGGAAGAGAGGGAGGAGGAGGATGAGAGGAGCAGGAGGAGGAGGAGAAGGGGAGGAGGGAGAAGGGGGGGGGAGGAAAAAGAGGAGGAGGAGGAAGAAGAGGAAAGGAGGAAGAGGAAGATGAGGAGGAGGAGGGAGACCTGCCTGTAGGGAGTCCTGGAAAGAAGAGCAAGGGGGCCTACTTTGGGTCAGGAGGTCAGGAATGACCTCTTGGAGGAGGCAACCAGAGGAGGTGGAGGAGGAGGTGGAGGAGAGGTGGAGGAGGAGGAGGAGGAAGAGAGGGAGGAGGAGGATGAGAGGAGCAGGAGGAGGAGGAGAAGGGGAGGAGGAAGAGGAGGAGGAGGAGGAAAAGGAGGAGGAGGAGGAAAAGAGGAAGAAGAGGAAAAGAGGAAGAAGAAGAGGAGGAGGAGGAGGAGGAGGAGGAGAAGGAGGAGGAGAGAGACCTGCCTGTAGGGAGTCCTGGAAAGAAGAGCAAGGGGGCCTACTTTGGGTCAGGAGGTCAGGAATGACCTCTTGAAGGAGGTGACCAGAGGAGGTGGAGGAGGAGGAGGTGGAGGAGGAGGAGGAGGAAATGAGGAAGAGGCTGAGCTCAGCCGGGAATCAGGAACATGGAGTGCAAAGGTCTGGAGTGGAAAAACATGGTGGGACTGGAACCAAGAAGGCAGGGGCAAGGCAGCAGGAGGGCCTGGGGCTGGGAGGTGGGCAGGGACAGAGTCCACAGGGCAGCTGTGCCAATGCAGAGTCTGGACCTCACTCAGGGGCACTGGGGAGCCAGGGAAGGCTGTGGGCAGAAGAACGATACCATCGGACTCACAGCTCGTCTCTCGCACCGTCCCCCGGGGTGAGCTGAGCGAACCACACCTCTCTGGCTCCCTGTGTCTGTGGGCGGGGGGGGGGGGGGGGGGTCCAGGTGCACCTCGCTCGGACTTTGGGTGACCCCCTCGGGTTTGATGATTAACTCCCGGCCACCTGGGGTGAGTCGAGCTGCTTGGCCCTGATCCCTGATGAGAATGCTGACAGCTCCATTCCCAGCCACACCCACACATGCGCCCGTCCTCCCACGTTCTGTCCTGATCGGGCGCTGGGAACAGAGGGGACAAAGCCCGGGTCATGCCCCAAGGTGGCTCCCGGCCTGGAGGGGGAGGAAAGACACCCAGTTGAGTGACATGTCTCACACCCCCGGGGTGGACAGAGAGCAGAAAGTCCCACAGGACAGCTGAGGGTGGTTGGGATCACAGAGGGCTCCCTGGAGGAGGGGCACACAGCTCGGGCTTGGGCAAGAAGCACCGCTTGCTGCGTTCATTGCATGCCCACTGGATGCCAGCCCTTCTGTGTTGGCCGGTGTGCCCTGAGGCTCTTTAGAGGACACCTTATCACACAAAGCCACCCTACCAACTCAGGGAAGCTGCAAAAATGCCAAGACAAGGAAACAGATCACAAACGAAAGAAATGGAGGACAAGAAGCCACTGGATACAGAGTTCAAAACCACGCTTATATGGTTTTTCAAGAATTTCCTAGAAAAGGCTGATAAAATAAACGAGACCTATGAGGATATGAAAAGGGATCAACTAGAAATAACGAATACATTGTCTGAAATAAAAAAATATTATACAGAGTCCTAAAAACAGAATGGAAGATCGCAAGAATCAAGTCAAAGATTTGAAACATAAAGAGCCAGAAGACAATCCTCCGCAGAAGCAAGAAGACAAGAGAATCCAGAAAGCTGAAGATAATGTAAGAAACCTATGGGACAACTTCAAGCGAACCAACATCAGAATTATGGGGGTCCCAGAAGAAGAGAGAGAGCAAGATACCGAAAACATACTGAAGGAAATAGTGACAGAAAACTTCCCCCATGTGGTGAAAGAATTAGACTTACAAGTCCAAGAAGCGCACAGAACCCCAAACAAAAGGAATCCAAAGAGGACCACACCAAGACACATCATAATTAAAATTCCAAGAGCAAAAGACAAAGAGAGAATATTAAAAGCAGCAAGAGAAAAGCAGGTAGTTACCTATAAAGGAGCACCCATACGATTGTCAGCTGATTTCTCAACAGAAACTATGCAGGCCAAACAGGAATGGCAAGAAATATTCAAGGTTATGAACAGCAAGAACCTACAGCCAAAGATAATCTATCCAGCAAAGCTATCACTCAGAATCGAAGGTCAGATAAAGAGCTTCACAAATAAAAAAATAAAAAAGCGAAAGGAGTTCATCACTGCCAAACCAGAATTATATGAATTGCTGAAGGGGGTTCTATAGGAAAAGGAAGAAAATAAAGATAAAAATTATGAACAACAAATACATAACTATCAACAAGTGAATCTAAAAACCAAGGGAATTAAAAAACCTGATAAACAATATTAACTGGTGAATATAATAGAATCAGAGGTATAGAAGGGGAGTGAACTGAGGATTCTTGGGGAAAGGGGAGAGGGGGATGCGGGAAGAGACTGAACATAAACTGTGCACCTATGGATGGGGACAATGGGGGTGGGGGGGAAGGGCAGAGGGTGGGATGGGAACCTGGTGGAGGGGAGCAATAGAGGGGGGAAAAATGAGGAACATTTGTAATAATATGAACAATAAAGATTTATTTAAAAAAAAAAGAGTAGGGTTTTTAGTTGTGTGAGCAGGAGGAGATATTAAACCAGAATTTCATGGATATCTTGGCTTTGGAAGAAGTTAGGCGGGTATTAACATTTATAATAGAGTCTGTTCTTTGTGTATGTGTGGGGTTTTTGTTTTGTTTTTGTTTTTTATTGATTATGCTATCACATAATTGTCCTCATCCCCCCCTTTCCCATCCCAAACCCATCCCCTGTTGTCCATGGCCACCGGCTAAGCCCATATGCACGCACACAAGTCCTTTGGTTGATCTCTCCCCCTTACCCCCAACCTCCCCTACTTTCCCTCTGAGGTTTGAGAGTCTGATCGCTGCTACTCTGTCTCTGGGTCTGTTTTTGTTCATCAGTCTATGTTGTTCATCATTTCCTCTAGATGCGTGAGATCATTCGTTCCAAGGAATACCCTTGTAAGAACCGAAACTGAGACGAGCCATAATGGTTATGCTGAGAGGCAGATGAGTCAGTCTGTAGTGAGTTCCTTTCTGGGCCATCGGTTCTTTTGAGTCCCAATTTCAATGTCAAACAGTTCCTCATGTGTTCGTGTCAGCCATGGTATTTCAGATCTGATTGGTGTGTGTGTGTGTGTGTGTGTGTGTGTTGTTTTTTGTTGTTGTTGTTTTTTCTTAAGTTGGAGTAGGAGTAGCTTCTGAGGAGGCAGTATGCCTAAGCGTTAGACTAGGGGTGTCGAACTCAATCAGAGAAGGGGCCAAAATCTAAAATCCAGCCTAAATCACGGGCCGAATGGTTTACTGAACAGTCATAAACTGTCATTGTGATGGAAACGCAGCGGAGTGCAGTGATGACAGCGCGGTGCGGGCCACATTGCAAGGCCTGGCGGGACGGATTTGGCCCGCGGGCCTTGTGTTTGACACATGTGCGTTAGCCTGGCTCTGGGACCAACAAACACCAACCTCCACTCCCTGGCTGTGTGACGTTGGGTAACTGAATTGACCCCTCTGCTTTGTTTCCTCACCTGCCAGGTGGGGGTAAAAGACTTCCCTCATGTAACTGATGGGAAGAGGGTGTGAGTTAACAGAGGTCAAATGTTTAGGACCGTGATAAGGACTCGGTGTGGACTGCGGCTGCTGTTATTGTCGCCGTAACAAAAGACAACATGACGTCACAGGATGGTGTACAGCACCCTGGGGCGGTGAGTACTGTCATGACCTCTCTGTCGCGGAATCAGACGCAGCCCAAAAGGGTCAAGCTACTTTCCCAAGGTCACACAGCAGCGGCGGGACCAGGGCTCACACCCAGAGGGAAAGCCACCTCCGATGAGGTGGGTCCGGTCACTGACCTGTCCCCTCCGGGGCCACCTCCGTCAGCCAGCGCTGTCCCTGCTGCCTCAGGCCGCCTCCCGCCCACTGGCCAGTCCGCGGGGTTACTCATTAAGCTTCGTTTCATCACCGCCACCCCCCGCTGGCGTTCCTGTTTGCCAGGAGGCAAGGGAACGGCGTGGCGAGGGGCAATGGCACCTTGGCAACCGGCGATGGGCCCTCCAGACTTGCAGGCTGGACTCCGGACTCGGGCCATATTTTTCTGAGCCACGAGGCTCGGTGCAGCTAACCGGGGCGAGAGAACGGGGTTCAGGCGGTCGTGCGGCCGGCCCAGCCAGGGAGTAACCCGGCTGAGACTTGGAGCCGGGTCTCCTTACGCCCAGCACATCTTGGTAACTCCTCAGACCGCAGCCAGGATACTAAGCCGTTCTGGAGCCGAGGAGGTCTCCACCTGGGGCCCCAATTCTGCGGCTGGAGCTCCTTCACTCCGCCCCGGGAGGGCTGTGTCTCCTCACTGCCCCGCCCCACCTCTCCCTGCGGCCTGGCTCTTGGA